TTAGGGAAATCTGTTTGCAAAAAATGTGGATATTTGTCAAAACTGCAGGCACAAACAAACCTCATTTGGAAAAAAAAATTATACTAAAATGCTGACTTATTTTCATGGAGATTAAAAACAACAACAATACAGTAAATTGTTGCAGAAATGTGGAGAACGGAATTTAAGATTGGAAAAATCAGAAAATCCGAGAACCAGAATTGATAGCAGTCCCTCTTTTCACACCTTCAAACATCTAAAACAATCTAAACACAAAAGGAAGGCAGGAGGTCAGGGAAGGGGTGAGGGGAGAAGCAAAGCCAAAGAAAAAAGTGGGGGAAGTCTTCCTGAGGAGTGGAAGGCAACAAACATACTGTTTTATTTCCTATTAAAGTTTCAGCAAAATGTTACCAACAGACATGGGCAGATGTAGGTCTGGCAACAAACAAGCAAATGGAAGAGGGTTCCAATTCAAAACAAATTCATGTGCTGGGACAATTGGACTGGGTAAAAAATAGTTGAATTCGGGCTGTGCATTTCCAAACTGTTCAAAACACACAGTTTTAGTTCCTAATTTTATTCATAAACCATTGTAGTTCTCCATTCAGCATATGTGAGGTGGGTTGCATACAGCTCCATACAAGAAGTAAGCCAATGCTATAATTTATTTTGTTTAAGTACAGCAACCCTGAAAGGTAGGACATTATTGTTAACCCCATATTCAATATGAAAATTAGGTTCTCCATAGCCACCCAGTGAGTTCCTGGTCACACTATGAAGCCAGGGACATGCTCATTCATAGCTCAGTTCACCACCCTAACTACCACACATGGCTACTCAAAGGAGCTTCTTGGCCAAGTGGGAAATTGAATCCAGGTCTCTGCCAGTCCAAGTCTGACCCTCAAACCATTGCACCATGTTTCTGTCTTATTCTGTTTTGCTGTTCATATCCCTTCTTCAAATGACCATAGGAAGCTGTCTTATACAGAGTCAGACCATTGCTCAGCCTTGTCTGCACGGACTGGCAGCAGCTTCCAAAGCCATATCTGGGGTTGCTGTAGATTGAGCCTGGAGCCTTCTGCAAGCACAGTGATGGTGGCTTCAGCACACCAAGCTATGACAAAATGTTTCTAAACATTGCTTTGTGGCTCTAGGCAAGCACAGTTTTGAGTTTTCCGTTTTAAAAACAAAACAACAACAAAAACTAGCTTCAAACTATCCCCAGAATTTTCTATCTTTTTTTAACCACTCCCCAAGAGTGGGTTGTTAACTTGTAAAGCAGCTACTAATCTGACCCCAAATTGACAATTGTTAATTGGTTTCTTTTGTATGCTGGTAAGGGGCTTGGCTGGGCCCCCACAGAGACTGCCCCCCTCACCTGGAGTACCCAAGCAGACACCTGCTGGTTATAATTAAGATCCAGCATTGTCATTACTTGCATATCTTCCATCATCCAAGGAAAAGTTGTTGTTGCCTTTTTTTTTTTTTAATACAGCACAGTCAATGACTGAGATTCAGCCTAGCCTCCGAAACTTTGGGCAGCTGCCCCTTCCGATAAAAAATTTCCATCGTGAAGCCATGGAGTGTCTCTATTTTCCTGTTCAATGTGCATTTTGATTGAAGCGCAACCAAACACACACACAACACACACACTTCCCGCCTCTTCAGGAGATAATAGCCTTTTCATTGGATAACAAGTGTCTGACAGATTGGAAGCTTCCCGGTTTACTGTTGGATTCATTAGAAGTTCCAGATTTTGTTTACTGAGGGTTGCTGCAGGGGAGGAGTCAAAGGTTGCTTTGCTTTATGTTGAAACAGCTAACGGGGATTTTTCCCCCTGCGGTGGTGGGGAAACAACTCTGCAAATTAGAAATTGATAACTGGAGGCAGGGCCGTCTTTAGCAGATGCGGTGCCGGGGTGCAAATATCCGCCCAGCGCCCCCAAATTACCACAGATAGTGTTGGGGTGGCTGTAGCTGCACACTGCCAGCCATTGGGGGGGGTGCAACTCTCCCCCATGCCGCTGCGGGAGAGCGATCAACCTTAGGTCCGCATATACCATTGGACTGTTGCTGAAGCTGAATGTTGGGAGATTTCAGAAGAGAGAAAATAAAGCACTTTTTTCACACAGCACATAGTGGACCTATGGAATTCACTGCCACAAGGGGCAGTGATGCCCATCAACTTGGACAGCTCCAAAAGACAAATTCATGGAGAACAGGGCTAGCCCCAGCAGCTATGCTCCAGCTCCATGGTCAGAGGAAATACACCTCTGAATATCAGTTCCTGGAAACAGCAGGAGGTGGGAGTGCTGTTGCAGATGGGACTAAGATTCAGCTCTCAGTTCAGCCAGCTACTGTGCAGGGGGAGGGCCCCATCTTGTCCTTAGCTTCAGGCAGAAAAATCTCCTGGGTCAGTTCTGAGTCTCTGGGCTGCAGCAGACACCCAGCCCCACTCACTCCTGACACCCCAAAGCAACATAACCTCCCATTTGCTTAAGCCACTGAGATTTGTTTTCTGTACTAAAGAAGCAGTGATCTTCTGGGTGTATGCTTCTTTATAGGGGACAAGCACTATCCCCTTCTAATTAAATTTCTGGTCTCTTTGCTGTAATCAGAGCTTGCCGCTGGGGAAGTGGTGGTGGGGAGGAAGGGAGGATAGCAAGATGGTTAAACATTTGGAAGTATCTGAAGTGAAACTGGAAGTGAAATTATGGGGAATCCATTTCTGCTGGGGACCAGATAAATGTCTCTTATGACAATGCCACTGGGTGAAATAATTAGATTAATGACTCTTAGCATTATGTGCTTTCCTTTGTCTCATTTGCCACGACCTGATTAACTGGTAGTTTGAAGAGTCTTTCTGGGGAATTCCATCAAAAAGATAGATAAATAGAGAGACAGAGAGATAGACAGATTCCTCTTGCATGATTACCATTGTGTGAGAAGGGAGAATGGGGGCATGCTCCCTTGGCAACCCCACCCATAGGGGAAGGGCTATACCTCAATTGCAGAGCATCTCCTTTCTGTTCAGAAGGCACCAGGCTCCATCCTCAATGGCATCTCCAGGCAGGACTGGGAATGCACCTGGAAAGCCATTGCTAGTTAAGATGAGTGCTCAGTAAACAGGGAATCTGGGAGTGACCTTGGAGAAGAATGGGAAACGTGTAGCCTTCCAGATGTTGATGGACTTCAAATCCCATCTGCCTCAGTGAGAATGGTCAATGGTCAGGGAAGATGAGAGTTTTAGTCCAGCACCATTTAGCGACACACAGTTCCTCCATCCTTCATCTACACAATATGTTCTCTTGCATGCTTTCACAACATGCCCCACCAATATGTGACTCACAAGCAGCGCTTGAAATCCAGGTTAAGCAGTGTGTTCAAAACACAATAAATTGGGCCTGTCCTTTATTGTGGATGGTTGGAGTAGGTGGGTATGATTTGGCTACTTTTCGGGGAGAATTTGGACAGAATTGGAGGTACCGTATTTTTTAGCTAAAGTGGTACCTCAGGTTAAGCACAGTTTCAGGTTAAGAACGGACCTCCAGAACGAATTAAGTTCTTAACCCAAGGTACCACTGTATTGCAGTGTCTTATCAGATCTGGCAAGGCCTCAGCTGCAGACACCACTCTTTTACCTGGTATGACTCTTGGGCCTTTAACAGTTGGGTAGCAGGCTAAAATTCAATAAATGCAGCCTGAATACATAATAATAGGGGCAATGTTGCACTGATTGAACTTTTCAGGAAGGAATCCCAGCATTACGAATGAGTCATTGCATGTCTCAGTTCTCTGGAACAGAAAGTCAGTTATTCAAGGTATATGCCAAGCCAGTGAAATTGTATACATTTGCTTTTATTTGAAAACAGCTTCATTTATTTGAAAACAGCACTAGCCTTGCTAACACACTCTAGAACCTGCTTTAAGCTTGGCACTGAATTCAAAGTGAAGTTGTGGACACCTCTCCAGGCTTATGCAGAGTGCATAGGAAGCTGGCTTATACCAGGTCAGACTATCTGTCTGTCTATCTCCGTATTGTCTACCATTGTTACTCATACAGTGGTACCTCGGGTTACAGACGCTTCAGGTTACAGATTCTTCAGGTTACAGACTCTGCTAACCCAGAAATTGTACCTCAGGTTAAGAACTTTGCTTCAGGATGAGAACAGAAATCGTGCAGCAGCAGCACAGCAGCAGCAGGAGGCCCCATTCGCTAAAATAGTGCTTCAGGTTAAGGACAGTTTCAGGTTAAGAACGGACCTCTGGAACGAATTAAGTACCGTATTTTTCGCTCTATAAGACACACTTTTCCCCCCTCCAAAAATTAAGGGGAAATGTGTGTGCGTCCTATGGAGCGAATGCAGGCTCCTTGGCTTCAGCGATAGCAATGCGAAGCCTCCGAAGCGCAGAGGGAGCGCTCCCAGTCCCACCAGGAGATGCTGGGGACTGAACCTGATGCCTTCTGCATGCTAAGCAGTTGTTCTACCACTGAGCTATGGCCCTAGCTCACAATATTGCTGTCAGGATAAAATGGAGAAGGTGGAGGCTGAAGTGTGTATGCTCTGTGGAGGAAAGGTGGGATAGAAGTATAAGAAGGAATAAAGTATGTAAACTAGCCTATAAGTGAATAAACTACAGTATATTTTTAACTTACTCTTCTAATAATTTGTATATAAATGATAAAAGTGGTATATACATTTTGTTCAATAAAAAAGAGGAAATGTTCAGACTTTCAAACAGTATGTTATGCCTGAGCCTTCATTGCTGAAACTCCCAACAGCATTTTCATGCTCACAAACACCTGATGAAGGAACCATTGTGACATAAGTCATTCAAGCAGAGTGAAGGGGCAACAGGCTGTCAACAGTGACAGTAGTTGGGGGCTCCCAGCTATTAAAAAGCCACAGAAAGTCTTTTCATACTGCCTGAGGAATTAATCCCTTCTTTAACGTTCATAATTGCTGGATCGATTTAACAGGACTGGAGCTAACATTTGCTTGGATTTGGCACCATTGATAGGGAACTGCCTGCTGCATCCTCTGCTTTGAAGTCACCCTGGTCTTTGGGCCTCCAGCACCTTCTTCAGCATGTCCAACCCACCTAAGAGGCGTATGATACTGGTGTTCCACTGGGTTAGGAAGAAGCCCCTGACAGAGAAGCTGTGCTCTACCATCTCGGCCAGACCTTCTGCCTCTGCACCGGCTTGCAACACTCCTCACATTTCACCCTACTTCACGAGGAGCAAGACACAACCCGCTCCGTTCAGGAGGTCCAGCAGGCGCAAGGTGCTGCGATTGCCGAATCTCACCGACCCCAAGTTTTTAAGATCCGTCATTGGCAGCGTTGGCCGGAAGAGAGCCCGCAGGCGTGGCAAGCAAAAGAAGACTCCAGCAGGAACAGGAAAAGGGGTGAGGGCTAGGCTAGAGGCAAGAAGGCTCCAAAGCTATTTGTGGGGTGGGATTGCTTTGGAAGATGCCTTCTCACAATCTCTACCCTTGAACCACGTAAGGACATAAGAAGTGCCTGCTGGATGAGGCCACATTGGCCTGTCTAGTCCAGCATCCTGTTCTCACAGTGGCCAACCAGAGCCCTGTGGAAACAAGAGCATTCTGTATTCCCTTCCTGCATCTTCCAGCAACTACTATTCACAAAGGTTACTGCTACTGACTGTGGAGGTAGAGCATAGCCATCGTGCCTAGTGGCCATTGATAGCCTTTCCTGCATAAAACCATCCAAGTTGGTGGCCGTCACAGCTTTCTGTGGGATTGAGCTTCCAGAGGGCTAGCTGAGCATGCCTGGTGCAGGAAAAACAGGCATTAAAAGCACATTTCTCCCCAAGAATACTGGGAATTGCAGTTTGTAAAGGGTGCTACAAATTGTAGCTATGTGGTAGAAGGGTAATCTACAGTTCCCAGGATTCTTACAGGGGAGAAGCGGTAATGCTTTTAATGTATGGTGTGTACACAGCTTCAAATTAGCTCCACCAGCTCTGTAATACTAGAGCAAAGATTATAATGCATATTGTTGTTGTTGTACTTTTATAAATATTATAAAACCCATTCCTGCAAACCATGTAGTCTGGAATAAACTCAGTCACCCCTTCCATCATTAATTGTTTCTACTAGGTGGGGAGGGGTGTTGGATCTGCTTCCCTGCCTTGAAGAAAGGCGCAGGTCAGATGTGTGCCCAGACCTGGCCACGCTTCGCAAGAGAGGTGTGTTGGTTCAAGGTGGCCAAACTGCCTGCAACTTGCACTCCTTCCTGACGTGTCTTCCCCAAACCCCTTCTTCCAGAGGCTGTGCTGAAGTTTTCCATCACGTGGAACACAAACTGGCGGAACTACCTCGAGGCTCAGGCAGTGGTGGAAACCCTCCTCAAGCATGAGACGCCAGAGAGCCTCTTGCAATACGAAGGGATCAAAGCAGCTGTGGAGTCTCTCCTACCATACACGGCACTTCCAGAGGCTGGGCCGGTTACTGCAAGCCTCCATGTTCCTTGATTTCATGTGACAAAACATGAAGTTGCCTGACGCCACCAAGTGGGACGGGGAGATGGACACGTGATGAGTTTTATTTATTTATTAATTTATTATTAATTTTATTGAGTACAAATTAGAAAAAATAGAAATATACAAAAAAAGAGGAAAATATATGTAACCAATAAAAAATTAGAAAACATTTTACCTCTTCTGATATTTACAATTATTTGCACCTCTACAAAACAATGTTCACAATAAAGAAAAGAAATGAGTTAAGTACCATCTATGATGAATTTTTCTGTAGTTCTCCCTTAATTGGTCACACGCTATAAAATTTATGTTTTTCTCACCCTTACATGGGTTTTGGATATACCATATTTTTCGCTCTATAGGATGCACTTTCCCCCCTCCAAAATTAAGGGGAAATGTGTGTGCGTCCTATGGAGTGAATGCAGGCTCCTTGGCTTCAGCGATAGCAATGCGAAGCCTCCAAAGCAGCGCTTCCCCCTACCGCCAGCCCCACAAGCTCGGGGGGCAGCGGGAAGGCAGCACGCAGCCTTTGCGCTGCTCCCCGACCAGGTCTTTGAGGCTGGCGGTCTTTGAGCAGCGTTCCCCCCCCCCGCCAGCCCCAAAGAGCCAGTCAAAAGGAACCCGAAGCCTCCGGAGCACAGCGGGAACTCCTGCCGCGCTCCTGAGGCTTCTGGTTGCCTTCACTGAAGCCTGGAGAGCGAGAGGGGTCAGTGCGCTCCGGAGGCTTCAGGTGAACGCTCCTTGAATGCGCAGAACACACCTTGTTTTAGAGGGGAAGAACAAGAAAAAAATTCTCCCCCTCTCTGCGCAGCGCCCCTTCAGCGAAGCAGCAGGAGAAATGGAAGGGGCTCCGTTTCTCCTGCTGCTTCGCTGAAGGGGTGCTGAGCAGAGAGGGGGAGAATTTTTTTTCTTGTTCTCCCCCTCTAAAACAAGGTGGGTCCTATGGTCGGGTGTGTCCTATAGAGTGAAAAATACGGTAACTGTTTTAAGAGTTTCAAATTGCTCAAATTGTTTTTAATTTGTGTGGGTAAAGTTTGTGTGTGTGTCATCATTTTTATTGAGGGAGAGGATATATGTTTGGGAGGAGAGCAGTTGATGAGAGCGGAGGAATGCAATCATAGTGGTCCAGGTTAGGAGGATACATAGTGTGGGATGTGGGGATGGCCGAGTAAGGGGCACACGGCACAGGCACTTGGGGATTAGGACCGTTTTGGCACAGAATCTGCTTTGGTCACCTTGCATGATGACCTCTGTCAGGAGAGAGACAGGGAAATATGCCCCTGTTAATTCTCCTTGGCCTCTTCAATACCATCAACCATGGTATCCTTCTGAAGCAGCTGGCTGAGTTGGCATGGGTGGCACCACTTTGGAAACTTCAGCCGGTGAAGAATTCAGCGGCCAGGTTGCTTACCGGTCAAGATGGTTTGAGCATATAACGTCGATCCTGACTCAACTGCACTGGCTGCCAATTAGTTTCCGGGCCCAATTTGAAGTGCTGGTGTTGACCTATAAAGGCTTAAATGGATTAGGACTGCAATACTGCAATATTCAAGGACAGCCTTTCCACATATGGACCAACCCAGACCCTGTGATCACCACTGGAAGCCCCATTGTGTGCCCCCTCCATGAGAGGTCTAGAGTGCAACACAAGAACAGGCCTTCCCTGTGGTGGCTCCTCGTTTGTGGGATGGTCTTCCCAGGGAGGCTCGCCTGGCGCCTTCATTACATATATTTAGGTGCAAGGCAAAAACATTCCACTTCTCTCATGGCCTTTGGCTAATTAGACAATCTGTATGGCCTTTTAAACAGGGGGATTATTGTTTGCTACTATAGTATGTATTTTTGTGTTTTTATATTGTAAACCACCCTGTGATCCTCAAATGAAGGGCAGTATAGAAATATAGTTAATAAATAAATAATCACAGCACTGTTTCCAAGGATCCTGTGGCTGAATGAAGCAAAATGTTGAATTTTAGCAATATAAACCTTGGCTCTGGGTCCAGTTGCTTTCAGCTCCACTGTCACGTCAGATGCTATCAGCCGTAAGGTATGAATCTATTCAGCCGTGCAACTTTATGTGACTTAGAGACACAATTCAATGGCATCTTTGAGACGTCTTTCTGTTACGCATTGCAGAATAACTTACCCTCCGGGGTGGAAACGTCATTCAATGATGCTGTTGTGTTGTTGTTTTTTGTTGTTTTTTTGTGGGGGTAGGGTGGGTAATGGTGTTAACCCTTTAATAATGGAAGCCTCTTTGGCTGCCAGCCCTTTACAACTGGTTGAAATGAGATCTGTTGACTGAAGGTGCTCAACACTTCCAGTTGAAGGTTCTTCCTTGGAAGTAGGAAAGCGAACGTTCTCCCTTGGGGAGGAAGGGCTGGTTATAGAGTTGAAGCAGTAAGTAAATGAATGGATAGAGAAATATTTCATGCATTTTCTCCTACTGAGCTTTAACCAGGAGCCTCATAGTTAAACGATTAGTTTTCTACGTGCTGTGTGCTAACAAAGGGTGGAATGACTGCCCACACCCACAATTCTTCTGAGTTAGCCCATTCATCCATCTATCTCAGTATTGCCTACCCTCAGCTTTCCAGGGCCATGTGCAGGGGACATTTCCAGCCCTCCCTGGAGATACTGAGGGTTCTGCATACCACTGAGTTGAAGCCCACCTCCCTGCACCCTATGATCACCCAGTTATACCTTATAAGAAATGCAGCGATGTTATCAGCAAAAGTCAAACAGTGACCCTTTTCTTTTGCTTTCTGAACAAAAAAGGGAATTGAGCTTTTGAGTTTAATACACCCATTTTACTGTTTGTTCTGGAAGGAACACTCCGCCTCCAAGGACCCCATTATTCTTCCTCCACCACTTGGAATAAATAAATCAACTGCCCTCCTAAATTCATTTCCCTTAAAGCACACACACACAAAAATGCACACTCACCAGACCAGGAAACTGGGTAACAATACCGGTCTACACTGTATGGTTGTTGTACAATATTCTCTCGCAGTGCTTCCCTGAAATATTTCCACAGCAACTGTGAGCTACGTTGCAGGGCTAATGCAACCTACACTTTTCCAACTACAATGCCCCACCACCGCCACCAACCTCCAGGGCAGTAAGGAAAAGCTTGTGGTGGGTTTTAGTTGCACTTGAATTAGTAGGTTATGCTTTTTAATGATATTAGGAAGGAAATAACCTTTTTTTGCATTCAGTAAAATTCCTCTCAGCTTTGGGGGTGACCTGTCACAGCCAGTGGCGGAGCTTCATGCTCCAGCACCAGGGGTGGAGAGCAGGCGTGGGCGTGGCTGGCGTGTGTCCTGGGGGACGTGGCGTGTCTCCTGGGGGCATGATGCGCCGCCTGCAGGGGCATGGCGCCCAGCATGGGGGGGGGCAGCTGTGATGGCACCCCACCGGGATCATGGTGCCGGGGGCAGTGCGCTCTCCCTGCCCCCCTTCCTCCACCAGTGGTCACAGCAGCCACAGTAAATACGTGGATGTCTCAACTATTTTGTCTCAGCAATCATCATTTAAGATGGAAGATGGCAAAAGAGCTTCAAAATGAGCCAGGAAGTCCCTTCAGAAC